TTCTGGCCTCCTGTTTTCTCTGCTCTTTCATTTATCTTCAAAAAATATCTTCTTAAATATTAAGGTAAGTTTTACTAAATTGCTGCTCTTTCTAGTTTAATTTCTCATGAATAATGGTTTCCTGTTACTTATAGAACTACTAGCAAATGCCTGAGTCTTTTATATAAGACTCATGATCAACCTCCATGATCAGGCTTAAATCCTCCAGCATTAAGTATACTATAAGATTTCATAAATGATTGGTTTCTGTATTCTTCACAGCACCCATGTGCTATAATGAGTGTTTGTTCAGTGATATGGAATAGAATGCAATGGAATGAAATGAAATGTCAGATCCTTTGGCAGAATTATACCTAAACCTTCTCTGTAACATGAACATGTAGATCATTTTAAAGGTCACCAGATGAGGATATTTCACAATCTTGGCAACCCAAATGTCTGCCTTTAACTAACCTTCAAGGAAAGCATAGGTGACTGAGCTTCTAAGAGGCTACTCAGTTTGTATTAATCAGTATTTCACATAGAACCTTCACTGAAGTCAGAATATAGAGTATATATTTACATATGCAAATTCTAGTAATTTGTGAAGTCTATGTTGATGCTGTCACCAACGTAATGTATCTATGCACAAAAGTCTAAATCTCTCAGAAGAATGGAAAACCTAGGAAGAAAACTGAGCTTTAAACTTCATCCCAGTCTCACTGTGCCAGGAGACAAAAGATTTCATTGTTAAATATTTTCCTTTTGATAAAAATGTCTTCCAAAATGGCAAACTTCTTTACTATTAATGAAAGCTCAAGGCTTTTACTCCTCAATAACATCATGCCACTCCTTCGAGGGAAAAACCTTTCATTCTTTATCAACATCACTAACAAATTCTATCCCATAAGACAAAAATGACCAGCTAGAATTATATGTGATATATTTTTTCACAGGGGAATGAGAGGTTCGATTTGTTTACTCACCAGAGAGAATCACTCTTAGGTGCCTCAGATCTAAAGCAAACCTCTAAATACTCTCCCCAAAGCAATGTCTAAGAATGAATGGTTTATCCCAAATGTTGCAGCCAATTGAACTTTTCTCGGTTACCCAGACTAAAGGGTTTGGCTAGATTCAATACTAACCAGCATATAGGATCAACTGCTTTACCTTACCTAATTGCCAGGTTCAGTAAAAGTGACTTATCTTCCTGGCATTTCACACTGTCTGAATTTCTAGCCTGCCTCATAATAAAATGCTGTTGAAATGAAGATAGCAAAGGATCCTGTCACAGAATATACAGAGGCATATCTGTAATATTCACAGTGTACTTGCAAGATTTGCAAACATTTTAATCTTGCCCTCCATTTGAGAGAGAGAACAGGCGACCTCTGATCTGAGTAGAATTTAAATCAATTCCCAGCAATAAAATCCGTATCTTTTCTTTAATTTTGTCATCTGCAATAATCTTTAAGAAAAAAATGGCGATAGCACAAGGATTTAATGTCTATTTACACAAAGCTAAAAATAAATATTAGAAGTTTGGTGATACAGTAGATGGGAGTTGCTTTTGTGGGTACTCTAAGGTTACTGATGTATTTTGTTGTCAGAAGGAGAAATTTCCTTACTTTCAATGATTTACAATTCTTGGGAAGAAAAACTGAAAAGCAATTCAATGACTATATATATAGGGCTTTAGTTTGAACTCAGTTACCCAAAGAAGTAATATTTATTTTCTTTTGTTTTATGAAATGTGCCAAGACTAACAAAATAGTATTCCTTTAATTCTGTATGTATGTTCCTTTCAGTGTTAAAAGACAATATAATGTATATGTTTCATGTTTTAAATAAATTCAATTCTTTGCTAAATTGTTTGATGTTAAGTCACCTTCTTCTCACCAAAATTGTTCCCAAGTAACAAAAGAGCATTATCAATTTTCAGGACTTGAATATAAATCTTCTTTCCTTTGTCTTAATTTTATTTTAAAAAACTTTTGTCCTGAAGAGTGCTCAAATAGTTAAAAGTAGGAGTTGGCCTTACTCTCTGAGCCAGCAAACCAATGCCTTCTGGCCTCTTTATGCCCTTTAAATAAATAATTCCTGGATGTAAAATGTTCCATAACCAACTTGCATATAATCCTGTTGCCTTCTTTTGTTTCAAATTTTTTCTTCAAGGCAATTTCATACTCATTAGAAATGGCATACTTTCAAGTAATGAATCATCTATTGAAATTTTATGACAATATTTGTCAAACATTTTCCATTTCATTCACAAAACATTTCAGGTACCTGTCAGAATATTAAGATCCTGGAGAGCTTGTCTCACCTAAATGAAGAGTCTATTCAGCATCCCAAGCTAAGAATTTCCTTCCCAGCTGCCCTAAGTTATCCATACTTAGCTGTGCTAACATTCTCCTTCCACTACTCTTTTGGAGCTCTTCTTCCTGGCTTTCTCTTTACACTCCAGGCATCCAGCACCAGTGTCCTGCCTTCTGATCTTCAGTGTTACTTGGCCTAATCTTGGTCTTTTCTAAAATACTTCAAGTTCCAAAAGTATTGGATACATTAAAACTATGACTGGAAGGAACACTAGAAACAAACTGACTCAACACTTTTCTTTCCAAAGTAAAGATATAGAGAACCTGGGACATTAAGTGATGTTGGAAAATGACAATACAGTTAGTGGTAGAACTGGGGCTCGAACTCTGGCTTCTAGTGGGACAAGTTTGTCTTGGGTTAGATTCCTCCAAAAACACATCTTGAGCAAAAGACTTGGGAACAAGTGGTTTATTTGGAGGGTGAACCCTTAAGGCATTATGAGAGCATGGAGACATTCAGGAAGTTACCTTGTGTATATCTGGAGCTCAGTTCTACTGGGGAATCTCTGAAAGACTGTAGAGAATATATGTTAGTAATGTTCCACTATGGGACAAAGATTCTATGGGATTTCTCTATCGACTTTTACTCCTCATTGGCTAAGGGCAGCTCTGGCAGCACTAATTGCACCTCCTGTCCGCCTTCAAACTGGCTGAAATGCTTCTGCACCAGAAATGCCCTCAGGGAAAGAGAAGCCACTGCTGTACATCAACCTTGTCCAATCCATGACCCAGGATGGCTTTGAATGTGGCCCAACACAAACTTGTAAACTTTCTTAAAATATTTTTGCAATTATTTCTTCTAGTTCACCAGCTATCGTTAGTGTTAGTATATTTTATGTGTGGCCCAAGACAATTCCTCCAATGTGGCCCAGGGAAGCCAACAGGTTGGACACCCCTGGTGTATATAGCCACTCTCTGCATGTAACTTCCAGTGTAGGCCAAGGGGAAAAGGGCAGATATAGTGTCAACCAGAGAAGCAAATGTGCCACAGAGCAAATGTGGTACTATTAGAGAACTAGCACTGTACCTAACTTCTTCATCAGATGTTCAATTAGTATCTATGTGACAAGTAATCACAGTCACAATTTCTACCTAACTACAATACAGTTGATGTTTTTTTCCTGATGGCATAGCAGATGAGGATTACCATAGTTACAGCTCTTCTTAAATGCTAGATCTTCAACTGCTGTGACCAAAGGACTCCTGGGGGTCAGTATAGTAAGAGCTGGCCCCATTTGTTATTCAAAACTGAAGCTCATTAAACTAAAAAAAAAAAAAAAAAAACCTCTAGAACTTAGAAATAAATGTATCTTTTATTTGCATGGAAAACTGTAAAACTATATCTGACTGAATATTATAAAGAGAGAGAATTAAGTTAGGCAAAAGGCAGATTTAGGAGGTATGAAGTAAAGGAGCAGATATTCCCTTTCAAAGCCATAAATCCAACAACCACAGATCATAAGTAGAGTTGTCAGATAAAATAAAGGACACTCAGCAAAATGTGAATTTCAGATAAACAATGAATAATCTGGGACACACACTGAGAAAATTATTTGTTGTTTACCTGAAATTTACATTTATGTAGGCTTCTTTTATTTTTGTTTGCTACATATGGCAACCCTAATCCTGGGACAACTACAAAGGATCTTCTGTGTGTGCGTATCCTCATGAATTGAGCAGGAGTCTATTTCAACAATAAAACTCAGAGCTAATTGTAATATTTTATGGCATTGATTAAAATAAAGTACCCTCATAATTTTGGATCAGAAATATTATTGTAGAAGTCTCAATCACAGAAACAAAAAATAAATGCTTTCTGGCAGCGAGGGAGCGTAACTGGAAATGTACAAGTAAACTGAAGAAACAAGATGAAAATATTAACATTTTTAAAATGTCATATTTTATAGAAAAGCAATGCTTCAGACCCTCATTTATCATCAAGCTTGGCCGGCTTCAAGTTACTATAAATTGAATGTAAAATTACATTAAAAAAATCATAGCCTTATTATTTAAATTTGTATTACAAGTAATCCCTATGAAGTCTTTCTTCCAGGAAAGCAAATTTTTAATAAATCACATATCCTGTACTGTTCTCATCCACAAATATGTTTGATTTCTTTTCCATATACGAAAAGCCTAGTTATGTTATATTTTTTAAAAAACAACAACAAATGTCTTAATCCATTTTGTGCTGCTATAACAAAAATAACTGAGACTGGGGTAATTTAGGAAGAACGCAAATTTATTTTTTCACAATTCTTGAGTCTGGGAAATCCAAGATCAAGGTGTTAGCGTCTGGTGAGGGCCTTTTCAGTTTTCACATGGTGGTGCATGGTGGAGGGTCAAGAGACAGGAGAACACTGTGTGAAACCTCTTTTATAAGGGCCTTGATCCTATTCATAAGGGAGAAGCCCTGATGGATTAATCACCCTTAAATATTCCTCCTCTAAATACAATCACCTGAATTTTGGAGGGGACTCATTCAAGCTATTGCAACAAAGATGGTAAAAATAATTTTTAAACTATGGCTGACTTTAAGTTTTAATTTTCTCCCATCAACCATGTCATCTGTGTTATTGTGTATAGATAATATACACAAAGTTTGCTTTCTAGTAGAAAGCACACAACATAAGATACACCTACCTTATGTTGTTGTACTTGGCGTTTTAGGTCTTCAAGATCAGGTCCAAGGGGTTCTTCCTCCATTTTCCTTGTTCTTTCTTCTGTTTTTGTCAGCCAGTCATTCAACTCTTTCAGTTTCTGATTCTGGAGATCCATTAAAACTCTATGTAAACTGAAAATTTGAAAGAAGTCTATTATTACACCTCTTTTAAAACAACTTATTACTGAACATCGCAATGTAAAACAATAGAATTTATAATATAAGGAATGTTCACATTTGGGGGCATCTACTGGACATTGAGAAGGATGTAAGGAAAGCCCACTATCAATCGTCCCTGGAACTCTTATTTCTCAGACCTATAATCATTCACAAATCCTGATTTCTAAAAAGTTTCACATAACCAACTAAATGTGAACATGCTAACTGAAGTGCAAAGCATCTGATAACTGACTTAGTAGTATATTTTGGCAGTTGTTCATTTACATTCTCATTATTTAATACGTGTGGTGGTTAAAGATGGCCACAAATTCTTTGTCCATCTTCCCTTCAAGAGATGAGGTCTATTTTCCATCCCTGTGAATATGATCAGGACTTGTGACTTTTTTTTTGACCATAGAATGTGACATAACTGACACCACACCAAATCCAAGTGTAGGCTACAAAAGAACTGGCAGCATTTGCATTTTTCCTCTCTTGAAGCCTAGATTCCATGCTGTAAAGGAGGCCAGGCTACACTACTGAATCATTAGAGATCATATAGGAGTGATTCTGGAGGATGAAATATTATATTGGAAGTGAGCTTCCAGCTCATTGCAGCCCAAGGAGGGACCCCAGCTATAACACCAGTAATACAAAAACAACCTGGCTGAGCCCTGCTTATATTCTTGATCTTCAGAATCATGACGCAATTATAAATTGTTTTAACGCATTAAGTTTGGACGTCATTTGACACACAGAAATAGGTAAATGAAAGCATGCTTTTTTCCCCACAAAGATATAGAAAATAGTGGGCTGGGTAATGAATTTAAAGTCCAAAGGCCTAGGTTCACAGCCCAGCGGTAAGCTCTACAACCAGGTTCTTAAACGTTCTCAGTTACATTTCCAGCATCAGGGACATGGGATAATGCTTTGCCTGTTAATTACACAAGTTTGTGTTGAGGATGAAAATACATTAAGGTTCTTTCATTAATTCAACCAAAATTTGAGATGTAAATGGGAAGCGTTAATGGTTATTTCAAGAGAAATAGTCTTTATAAATATCATGTTTAAAGTATTTTTCAAAACTATATTCTGAACATTGATCTTATAAACGGGATATAATTTGAATTAGGAATATATTATTTTGAATACATAACTGTATTCTAAAATCTTTAGTGGAAGTTTCCATTAATCACCACATTTAAACACACAAAGTGCACATATAGCTGAGAGTGTTTTTTAATAGACTTAATTTTTTGGTTTAGATTTACAAAAAATTAATGAGATTATAATACAAAGAGTTATCATATAACTTGCACTCAGTCTCTCCCATTTTATTAACATCTTATGTTATTATGGAACATTTTTACAATTAATGAACCAATATTTGTGCATTATCATTAGCTGGAGTCTATATTGTATTCTGATTTCCTTAGATTTAAACTATTTTTTTTGTATTTCAGTATCTCTTCAAGGATTCCATATTACACTTAATTGTCCTGATTCCTTAATCTGCTTTTAGCTATGATAGTTTCTCAGAATTTTTCTGGCAGTTTTTAAAAGTGCTCGCCAGGCTGGTATTTTGTAGTATGCCTCTTAGTGGGAATTTGTCTGAATTTTTTTTCCTCATAATTAAACTGGGGTTTTTGAAAGACCACAGAGGTAATGGGCCATTTTAATCACATTTTATCAAGCATATATACTCTCAACATGACTTATCAATGTTAACTTTGACCACGTGGCTAAAGTAACAGGTGTCACATTTATCCACTATAAAGTTACTCTTTCCCCCTCCTTTTACACTATTTTTTAATAAGAAAGTCACTATACACAGTCCCCATGGAGTGGGGAGTTATATTCTCTTTCTGTGAGGGCAGAGAAGTTACATAAGTTATTTGGAGTTCTTTCTGCATTGGAGATTTGTCTCTATTCCTCCATTTATTTATGAAATTACTTATTTATATAACATGGCCTCACGTATAGTTATTTGATACTTTGGGCTAAATCCAGTATTAGTTTCTGCTTTGGATTTTTGCTCAAATAGTTCCAGCTTTGGACACTGGGAACTCTCTTGGTTGGCGACTGACATATCCCATTAAAGTTTTTTGTTTAGGGCAGGGCTGTGGAGTTGAGCATGTTCTTACTTTCTGGCACTACCAAATGCTTCAGGTTCATTTTCTATACTGCCTTTCTTAGTTTTAGAATCAGCCGTTTCTCCACAGTGTTCTAGTTTTTTTTTTGGGGGGGGGGGGGGGGAATGTTACTGGAACCCAAGATCCTGTTGCTAGGTATGCTTGTTGCTTCTAGGGTGTTGTAGCTTACAGGACATCCGGGTTGACATAAAGAAGTGGATGTACGAGTGCGTACTCACCCATAAACACTTCTTTATGTAATTACCTCATCTGTAGCAAGCTAAATATTAATCTATCCATATCTCTCCATCTTGTGACTTCTGTCCTTTATCTGTGAACTACCTCTTCAACAGTAAGAATTTGACTTAAATTAGAAGTTGTTACAAGAAACTCAAAAATGATTTCTTTAAACTAGAAGCTGAGATGACCCCTGTTCCATGTTTGGCTCCTCGTGCTGCTGAATCCACAGAGAAAGGGGTTACCACACAGAACCTAAGCGCAAATGGTCAACTGAGTTCATCCTATACAATGCAGGGCAAGTAGGACTACATCAGAAAATTACAGGCATTTGCCAGGAGTCTCTTAGTATCCCCATATACAATAATGTTAACCAATAAAAAAATAAATAAATAAAAAATAAAAAAAAAAAACCAGAAGATACTCGATCGATATGGAACCACTAATAATATGGTTCTCTGGAAGGATGTCTTTGATTTCCCACTAAGGTCAATGTCTGCAACTAGAAGAAATTCTGTCATAGTAACCAAGACAGCATTATATTAGCATAAAAACAAATTAATGGAACATAGTAACAGAACCCAGGAATAAATCCATGCATTTGCATTCAACTGATTTTTGACATGGGTGTCAAGAACACACCATGAGGACAGGACACCCTCTTCAGCAAATGCTACTGGGAAAAGTAAGAATCTACAAGCAGAAGAATGAAATTAGACCCTTATCCCTTGCCACATACAAAAACCAATTTGAAATGGATTAAAAACTTAAATGTGAGACTCAAAACTATCAACCTATTAGTAGAAAACATAGAGGACAAGCTTCATCACAATTATTTGGGCAATAACTTTTGAATATGACTTTAAAAGCACAAGCAACAAAAGCAAAAATAGACTGAGGACTTACACCAAACTAAAAATCTCTGCACAGAAAAAAAAAATAAAATTGAAAATTAACAGAGTAAAGAGATAACCAATAGAATGAGAAAAATATTTGCAAACTATATATCTGATGGTGGTTCATATCAGAAATATATAAGAAATTCAAACAACTCCATAGCAAGAAAACAAATAACCTGATCAAAAATAGGCAAAAGACTAAAATAGACATTTATCATAAAAAGGACAAATGGATAACACGTATATGAAAAAATGTTCAACATCACTAATCATCTGGAAAATGCAAATTAAAACCACAATGAGGTATCACTTTACTTGCAAAGAAAAGGCAACACTTACACACTGTTGGTGGGAGTGTAAATTTGTTCAACTACTGTCGAAAATAGTGTGGTGATTCCACAAAAACCTAAAAACAGAAGTACCATTTGACCCAGCAATCCTATTGTTGGGTATATACTTAAAGGAATATAAATCATTCTACCAAAAGGACACATGCACACATATGTTCATGGCAGCACTATTCACAATCGCAAAGAGAATCAACCTAAATGCTCATCAATGGTAAACTGGATAAATATGGTAAATACATATTGTGGAATACTATGCAGCCATAAAAAAGAATAAGATTATGTTCTTTGCAGGAACATAGATGAAGCTGGAGGCCATTATCCTTAGCAAAATAATGCAGAAAAAGAAAACCAAATATTCCATGTTCTCACTTGTAAGTGGTAGCTAAATGATGAGAACACATGGGCACATGCAGAAGAACGATACACATGGGGCCTATTGGAGTTTGGAGGGTGGCAGGAGAGAAAGAATTAGGAAAAATAACTAATGGGTACTAGGTTTATACCTGGTGATGAAATCATCTGTACAATAAACTTCCATGACACAAGTTTACCCATTTAACAAACCTGCACATGTACCCTTGCACTTAAAAGTTAAAATATAACAATAATTAATGATATCCTTGCCAAAAGAAACAGAGAGAGAGATATCACCTCACTTTCATTAGCATGGCTACTATCCAAAAGAAAAAAGATAAATGTTGATAACGATTTAGAAAAAAAGGCACCTATTAGGTACCTGCAAAAGTTAAAAATTACAAATTAAGAAAAAACGAAAACCTTTACACATTGTAAATGGGAATGGCAATCAGTATAGGCATTATGGAAAACAGTATGAAGGTTCCTTGAAATATGAATAACAAAACTACTATGTGATACAAAATCCCACTATGAATTATATATATAAAGGAAATTAAATCAGTATGTCAAAGACATACCTGCACTACCATTTTTATTGCAGAACTATTCATAGCCAAGATATAGAATCAACGTAAATATCCACCAATATATGAATGGATAAAGAAAATGTGGTATACATATATACAATGGAATACTACTCAGCCATAAAAAAGAATAAAATACTGTCATTTGCAACAACATGCATGAACCTGGAGAATATTGTTAAGTGAAATAAGCCAGTACAGAAAGACAAGTACTGCCTAATCTCACTTATATGTGGAATCTAAAACAGCTGATCCCACAGAAGTAGACAATGAATAGTGGTTACCAGAGGCTGAGGTGGTTACGAGGAAGGGGGAGGTGTGGAGATGTTTTTCAAGGGATATACAGTTACAGTTAAAATATTCAAGTGATCTATTTTACAACATGGTGACTACAGCTAATGCAAATATACTCTT